GGGTCAGCCACAAGCCGCCATCAATCATGAGGATTACAGATGCCAAAAAGAGTAATAAAGTCACCACGGGGATAAGCACCTCTGTCTCTGCCTGCCTGTAGAGATCAAAGATCACAACCCTGCCCTCGCTCACAGACTCCTGCCACCGGACAATCAAAGACTCTCCCGCGGCGCTCTGACGCCCCCTTGTGAACAATGGACACTATCACACCCGGGACGGACAATTGCGAACCGGTTACCCCTGGGTCCAGTACTCCAATAATCTGCATTGTGCCCCATATGTGTGTATCAATGTCAAAGTAATGAAATACGGTGTGTGTTTGTACATGTCTTATGATTATTAGCATCAATCCTGTGTGTTTCCTTTACAAACTGTCTGTTGTAAAAGGGGTCTGTCCACAGAGGGCAGGGGCGGCATGGACACGCCCCCTGGGAAGCCTATATGAGCACCCACACGCCATTGTTCTTTCTCTTGTTTTCCCCGAATCCACTATAACAACCACCCGTGGGTACGTGTTCCCTACACGGCCTGCGCTCGCAACCTCCCTCTCAGCCCTGCGGCCACGCAAGTACGCGCCTCCAGCAACGACTGTGCCGTCCGCCCCGAGGCCTCCCGCTTCCACGCAAGCCTCCTTTCTGGTTGGAATCTACGAACTGTTCATCACCAGCCTCTTTCCCTGGCTCGCGTGCACCAGCAGCTGGACCAAACTAGCAGGCTTCATAACTCCCGCCTGCCCGGACAAAGAAACCACGTGGGCTGTTTCCCAACCCAAAGCCCTTCTCCATCCTCTACGCTCCTCCAAAGTAAGACTGTTCCTTGTTCAGTGTTCAATTTGAATGAAATGTGTACAGCTCCTACTCAAATGTGACCAGAAATCCTTTTTCGTTATGCTTCATCCCACTTTGTAATCAATAAATCCCTTTTCTTTAACTCAATCCTATCAGAGTCGTGTTGTTAAGATCTCGGACTATCACTGGCGGATAAAAGTACTCACTACCTATTAGATTTATAAGACTGACTCGAGGCAAAGATTTGGTTGGTGTCTATGTGCAGATTTCTAACTCTGCTGGTGCCCAAAATAAATAACATAGACCTGTTGGTGGAACGGCGAGCTTCCGCTCCGGAGACTAGCCGCTCCACACTACCAAATTCATACTAATAAGTAATTATAATCAGCTAATATAAGTAGTCACCCTACAGTACTCACAAATCGATGGTGTTGCATCTTTTTCTGTTAATTATAAAGACAGGGTTTTAGCATTAGCCTACAATGTATAAAAGCATGTGTTAGTTCACGCTCGCTTGCATTGCTCAAGGATAATAAAAGTAGTGGGAGATTTTTTAGCAAGTAACAATGACCACCATTATAATTTATAAAACTGCTTAAACTGGCTCACTTACTGTAGAAGAAGATGCCATAATGCCACCGCGGTAAATTTACTTCAATGGATAGCCCTCGTCCAGCTAGACTTCTTCGTCATCCTCTGCAAGTTCAGATCTTCAAAACAGGAAACCCTAAACAGCACCATCTACTGGCGATTTAAGGTTTTAATGACATCAACCAGCCTGCCAGTCAATACTTTGGGCGTAAAAAAGTTACGCACAAATCTCTGACATGGCAGGACTGTGTCAAAAAGATTTGTGTGTAAAACAGAGACTCGTGCGTAAAACAGAGACTCGTGCGTAAAAGAGAAAGTTGTGCGTGGGACTTAGATTTTTTTTTTTTTTTACAACTTGGACATTTTACACACACATTGTTCATTTACACTTGCAAACAAAATTACGCACGCACACATCTGATTACACACGCTTAAATCTTTTACACACGCACACATCTTTTTACGCACACACGCATCTGATTACACACGCACACATCTTTTTACGCACACACGCATCTGATTACACACGCACACAGCCAAGGTTACGCTTGCAACTTTGACAAGGCAGGACTGTGTCAAAAGTGTTGTGAGTAAAAGAGAGACTTGTGCGGATGACTTAGACTTTTTCCGTTGATATTTTTTTACAACAGGGAAATTTACACACACATTGTTCTATTACACATGCAAATATAATTATACGCATGCAAAAAAAAAATACGCACGCACACACATTTGTTTACACACGCACGCATCTTGTTACGCACAGACACATCCGGTTACGCACACACAAATCTGGTTACACACAGACAAATGTTTTTGACACAATTAGATCTCCATACTTTTCTGGACACTCAAAGACGCTTCACATGTCATTATTCATTCACTCCATACACTGTGGTGATAAACTACTACTGTAGCCACAGCTGCCCTGGGGCACACTGACAGAAGCGAGGCAACCAGTATGTGCCATCGGCCCCTCTGACCACCACCAACCATTCACACACACACCAGACTCATTCTAGGCAATGGGGGTGAAGTGTCTTGCCTAAGGACATAACCACAGTTTGGCACTTTACAGCCGCAGCCGCCCCACTGTGGCTGGTGTTCCCAGAGGTTAAGTGTCTTGCCAAGGACACAACAACAGTAGTCAGTGGGAGTCGATGGTGAATGTCTTGAGCGTGGCTTGAACACGACCTTCTGGCTCAAAGGCCAACGCTCTACCAACTGAGCTACTGCCGCCCTAGCGAGGCAAAAAAGATGGACACAGACCTGGGCCCCAATGCGACCCCCTCCTCATCTCCCTCCCCCCCTGTGCCGCTGCCATTCCAGATGAATCAGAAGGTCATTAGTTGTATAGTGTTATTTGAATGCCTTATATTTAAAGCGTGTGCCCTGTGAGGGAGGAGTTTACCAGAGTGTGTACTCTCAAACACGGCTTTTGTATTGGACCGGGGTTGCAACCTTGGCCTGATATTTAATTTATATATTTCCTTTAATCACAGATGAAGTCCCGCAGAGAAAACTTAACCCAGAACGGACAGAGCCCTCCTGCAGCACGACCACGCCTGATCTCGGACGCAGTACTGTAAAATCAGGAACACATTGCTGAGACGCTGGAGAAGACTGCGTCCACACTGGGAACCGTTTCTAAAACACTTAAAGATATGTATGATCATTTCAAAGGGAAAGTTGTGCTCTGGAACTGGTCTGTCCTCATATTTGAAGTGAATCACAGAAGACTTATATTCAACATGTAATATTTCCACAATTAGCTGCTCTCTAACATGAACGGCGCCCTGCAGTCTGGTCCCATAACTCAGTGGTTCCCAAAGTGGGGGTCCCGACCCCCCGGGGGGTCGCGGGAACCCCTGGGGGGGTCGCAAGATGATTTCCACACAAACAAACAAAAATTTTTTTTTTTTTTTTGAGCAAATATAAAGTCCTTAAATATTTATTTAGCATTTGATTTGATTCAAAAGGACTACTTGTTAAATTGTGTTTGGAGACTATAATATATTTTAATAACGTTAGTAATTTTGTCCCAGTCATTGCAGCGTCAATCAAAATCATCACGTAACACAGCTCACATCATGCGCAGCGACAAAGCGTGTCCTGCTGTTGTTTGCTAAAACTAAAGGTGTTTGGAGGCTACAAATAAATAATACCTGCTTTAAAATGAAACGTGGTTAATATCCACAACAGAAAAACCCGGAGGGGGAGAAAAGTCACTTGTATCAGGGGTCAGGCTGATGGTGCGAAGAGAGGGAGAGAGGGCAGCGGAGGGAGAGAGGACAAAGGAGGGAGGGAGGACAGCGGTAGAACAGCGCGTTAAAGAGGCCCGGCTTTTCGGAGTCAAAGGTAAAGAGGTCCGCACATTAAAAGCGGGTGGCCGGTTTATGCCTTTACTGACAGTAACTTTGGAAAGAGAAGCCGCGGGGATGAACCGCATAAAGTAACAGCAGAAAGCGGCCGCCCGCTTTTAATGTGCGGACCTCTTTACCGCTGACTCCGGAAAGCCGGCCCACTTTACCGCGGTAGGAGAACAGTGAGGGCGAGCCGCAAGAAATGCTGAGGAGGGAGCCCACCAAGCCCATCACTGTGTCACTACATAAGTAAAAATATGCAAGCCTCCTTTTTTGGGCTGGACAGTGCAGCTCGGTAGTGGCGTGAGTCTCTAGAAAGCGTTACTCCGTATCAAGGAAATACATGCTCATTTCATGTGACAAAACGGCTGTTGGGGGGGGGGGGGGGGGGGGTCGCGGGTTACCAGGGCATTTATGATGGGGGTCGCGGGCTAAAAACTTTGGGAACCCCTGCCATAACTGACGGTGCAGTGGCTGAGGGGGCACACCGCGCTTCATCACGATGTTGTGCAGGACACAGCAGGCCATGATTATCCTACAGAGCTGTAATGGTGAGGGACAGTCATAAAGTAAGCTGCACGGAATTTAAATACATCTAAACTAGGTGGTTCTCATTATAGGCTGATAAAAACAATCAGTTGCCGTACCTTCTCTGGTTTATACAGTAATTATCCACCTGCTGTGTCCAAACTCATCCAGCGTCCCTTCAATACGCCGACGGTGCGTTCAATGATGCAGCGAGTGCGCATGCATGTCAGTATGACACCTGCTGAGGAGTCTGAGGGTCAGTCAGTGGTGCCATCCACCGGGGGCCAGGGCATGTCCTCGAGCCCTGGCCTAAAGGATGAAATCATGGTAAAAATAAAATACACTCTTGTTGGAAATTGTAATGAAAATATACTCACAAATGAGCCATGCGTCAACTGCTCCTTGTTCAAGGCGTATTCCCACGGAGCTGTTCTGAAGTAGAGTCGTGTGCTCCTCCTCAGAACCGGTAGACTACATTCAGGAGATGGTTTTTTGAGCAGATGATTTGGACATTTATGGAGTGGAACTGTTTGCGGTTGAGGTGAAGGAGTCTGGAGAGGGAGCCTTGATGCGAACGTGTGTACAGTCTATTGCGTCAATTGTATTTGGGAGACCAGCGATCAGATGACATTTTTCACTGAGACTTGCTCCTCTGCTGTGTACAGGAATGTAATGTATTGTGGGGCCAGTTGAATAATTGCATCCACAACTCGAGGGAGAGCGTGGCTGATGAGGGCTGTGAGATGCCCAGTCCCCCAGCTCCTGTTGAAAGGATCCAGAGCCAAAAACCCTGGGGTCGAGTATAACCTTCTGCATCAGGAGGAATCATCGTAAGCTCCCCTTGTCAGTAATAATGTTAAAGACATACAATTACATCTACATCATAAAAGTTTGCCAAATGCATTTATTTCCTGAAGCCTTCTGAAGTAGCCAGCCTTCAACAGCATCTCACGCAACCTGGAAATAAAAAAAAGAGTTTGACCACAGTCAGAAAATCTATGAATATTATTTGTTGCAGCCTTTTGTCAAAAACACATTCATAGTTTGAAAACTGAAACAACGGCAATGAGCCTTTTTTGATTCAAAACCACTGCACTGTGTGCACAAGCGTCTGGGGTGTGTGTGAACGGTGGTGGTGCTTTCTACACAAAGGCAAACACATGAATGAAAATGAATGAATGAAACTTCCTCTGTCCTGAAGTGAACGCACAATGACCTTTATACTTTCTCTGTTCTTATCACCTGCTGACCCCTGAACGGGTCATTTCTTCAACAGACAAAGACCGGTTTCCAAGTCTTCGCTCACCTCTCCTTTGGCGTCTCAGACTATTTTTTAGTCCAGAAAGACAAAGTTCACTGAAATGGACTCGGGTTGTTGTGATGCTGAGGGAATCGATTCTTCTCCTTGCTTCCTTTTGAAAGAGGAGGCAAGAGTCGACTGATCAGTATCAAAGTAAATGTAAACGTTGAGCTTCATCTTGTCTGCCTGAAAACGCAGCAACATCCATTTAAAACATTCAAACAGTCACGAGTAGTTTGGTTTTGGAAACGCAGGGTCTGAGTTATTCACGACGGCAGCAAGTGGTGAAGGTGAAGGAGCCCGAGACCCACCGCGGATCACAGATGACGACAAAGATCTCCATCTGTCAGGAGCAGGAGCTATCACAGGGACATCTGTCAGGAGCAGGAGCTATCACAGGGATATCTGTACGGAGCAGGAGCTATCACAGGGATATCTGTCAGGAGCAGGAGCTATCACAGGGATATCTGTCAGGAGCAGGAGCTATCACAGGGATATCTGTCAGGAGCAGGAGCTATCACAGGGATATCTGTCAGGAGCAGGAGCTATCACAGAGATATCTGTCAGGAGCAGGAGCTATCACAGGGATATCTGTCAGGAGCAGGAGCTATCACAGGGATATCTGTCAGGAGCAGGAGCTATCACTGGGATATCTGTCAGGAGCAGGAGCTATCACAGGGATATCTATCAGGAGCAGGAGCTATCACAGGGATATCTGTCAGGAGCAGGAGCTATCACAGGGATATCTATCAGGAGCAGGAGCTATCACAGGGATATCTATCAGGAGCAGGAGCTATCACAGGGATATCTGTCAGGAGCAGGAGCTATCACAGGGACATCTGTCAGGAGCAGGAGCTATCACAGGGACATCTGTCAGGAGCAGGAGCTATCACAGGGATATCTGTCAGGAGCAGGAGCTATCACAGGGATATCTGTCAGGAGCAGGAGTTATCACAGGGATATCTGTCAGGAGCAGGAGCTATCACAGGGATATCTGTCAGGAGCAGGAGCTATCACAGGGATATCTGTCAGGAGCAGGAGCTATCACAGGGACATCTGTCAGGAGCAGGAGCTATCACAGGGATATCTGTCAGGAGCAGGAGCTATCACAGGGATATCTGTCAGGAGCAGGAGCTATCACAGGGATATCTGTCAGGAGCAGGAGCTATCACAGGGATATCTGTCAGGAGCAGGAGCTATCACAGGGATATCTGTCAAGAGCAGGAGCTATCACAGGGATATCTATCAGGAGCAGGAGCTATCACAGGGATATCTGTCAGGAGCAGGAGCTATCACAGGGATATCTGTCAGGAGCAGGAGCTATCACAGGGATATCTGTCAGGAGCAGGAGCTATCACAGGGATATCTGTCAGGAGCAGGAGCTATCACAGGGATATCTGTCAGGAGCAGGAGCTATCACAGGGATATCTGTCAGGAGCAGGAGTTATCACAGGGATATCTGTCAGGAGCAGGAGCTATCACAGGGATATCTGTCAGGAGCAGGAGCTATCACAGGGATATCTGTACGGAGCAGGAGCTATCACAGGGATATCTGTACGGAGCAGGAGCTATCACAGGGATATCTGTCAGGAGCAGGAGCTATCACAGGGATATCTGTCAGGAGCAGGAGCTAGCACAGGGATATCTGTCAGGAGCAGGAGCTATCACAGGGAAATCTGTCAGGAGCAGGAGCTATCACAGGGACATCTGTCAGGAGCAGGAGCTATCACAGGGACATCTGTCAGGAGCAGGAGCTATCACAAGGACATCTGTCAGGAGCAGGAGCTATCACAGGGATATCTGTCAGGAGCAGGAGCTATCACAGGGATATCTGTCAGGAGCAGGAGCTATCACAGGGATATCTGTCAGGAGCAGGAGCTATCACAGGGATATCTGTCAGGAGCAGGAGCTATCACAGGGATATCTGTCAGGAGCAGGAGCTATCACAGGGATATCTGTCAGGAGCAGGAGCTATCACAGGGATATCTGTCAGGAGCAGGAGCTATCACAGGGAAATCTGTCAGGAGCAGGAGCTATCACAGGGACATCTGTCAGGAGCAGGAGCTATCACAGGGACATCTGTCAGGAGCAGGAGCTATCACAGGGATATCTGTACAGGAGCAGGAGCTATCACAGGGATATCTGTCAGGAGCAGGAGCTATCACAGGGATATCTGTCAGGAGCAGGAGCTATCACAGGGATATCTGTCAGGAGCAGGAGCTATCACAGGGATATCTGTCAGGAGCAGGAGCTATCACAGGGATATCTGTCAGGAGCAGGAGCTATCACAGGGATATCTGTCAGGAGCAGGAGCTATCACAGGGACATCTGTCAGGAGCAGGAGCTATCACAGGGATATCTGTCAGGAGCAGGAGCTACCACAGGGATATCTGTACGGAGCAGGAGCTATCACAGGGATATCTGTCAGGAGCAGGAGCTATCACAGGGATATCTGTCAGGAGCAGGAGCTATCACAGGGATATCTGTCAGGAGCAGGAGCTATCACAGGGATATCTGTCAGGAGCAGGAGCTATCACAGGGATATCTGTCAGGAGCAGGAGCTATCACAGGGATATCTGTCAGGAGCAGGAGCTATCACAGGGATATCTGTCAGGAGCAGGAGCTATCACAGGGATATCTGTCAGGAGCAGGAGCTATCACAGGGATATCTGTCAGGAGCAGGAGCTACAGTGCCTTGCGAAAGTATTCGGCCCCCTTGAACCTTTCAACATTTTGCCACATTTCAGGCTTCAAACATAAAGATATAAAATTTTAATTTTTTGTCATGAATCAACAAAAAGTGGGACACAATCGTGAAGTGGAACGAAATTTATTGGATAATTAAAACTTTTTTAACAAATAAAAAACTGAAAAGTGGGGCGTGCAATATTATTCGGCCCCTTTACTTTCAGTGCAGCAAACTCAGTCCAGAAGTTCAGTGAGGATCTTTGAATGATCCAATGTTGTCCTAAATGACTGATGATGATAAATAGAATGCACCTGTGTGTAATCAAGTCTCCGTATAAATGCACCTGCTCTTTGATAGTCTCAGGGTTCTGTTTAAAGCGCAGAGAGAACCATGAAGACAAAGGAACACACCAGGCAGGTCCGAGATACTGTTGTGGAGAAGTTTAAAGCCGGATTTGGATACAAAAAGATTTCCCAAGCTTTAAACATCTCAAGGAGCACTGTGCAAGCAATTATATTGAAATGGAAGGAGTATCACACCACTGCAAATCTACCAAGACCCGGCCGTCCCTCCAAACTGTCATCTCAAACAAGGAGAAGACTGATCAGAGATGCAGCCAAGAGGCCTGTGATCCCTCTGGATGAACTGCAGATAACTACAGCTGAGGTGGGAGAGTCTGTCCATAGGACAACAATCAGTCGTGCACTGCACAAATCTGGCCTTTATGGAAGAGTGGCCATTTCTCAAAGATATCCATAAAAAGTCTCTTAAAGTTTGCCACAAGCCACCTGGGAGACACACCAAACATGTGGAAGAAGGTGCTCTGGTCAGATGAAACCAAAATCAAACTTTTTGGCCACAATGCAAAACGATATGTTTGGCGTAAAAGCAACACAGCTCATCACCCTGAACACACCATCCCCACCTCAGCTGTAAAAATCTGCGCTACTTATTCTTCAAAAGGATGAATATCCCAATGCACTGCATGGATTGAATTGAATTGTAATGAATACAAAAATAAAGTGAAGTAATGCAGCTTTAACAGACTGCTGTCTCCACTGCGATATAGCAGTTAAGCGGTTTTGCAGTAGTATTTGCAGTACTAGTGATACAGTACTTGTATACGTTTGTCTTCCAGCTCGTACTTGCAGCTGCAGTTCATCTCGTTCTTCCTTGGGTTCTTCGGAGCGAATTGGACCCTGACGGCACACGCAGTGAGCCGACTGGTTCCGGTTTCTCAGTTTGACGAAGCTCACGGCGTGGCTGTTGTCGTGGGCCCCCCGGTGGCAGGTGAGTGCAACTGACATACTACTGCTCCAACTCCCTCCAATAGGGTCTATCATGGGTCTAACTCTGGTCCAATCCAATGACTGTTGAAAGGAACAGGTTTAGAAGGTTATTTTTAAAAGACTAAGAGTTTTAATGAAGCTAGTGCTAATGCTGGTATTAATTATTGTATCGCCCTAAATCAAAACAGTAGTTATCTCGAAGGACTTAACAAAACCGCTGAATACGCCAACACAGATCAGAGAAATGCAATGATTAAAAAAACACATAGAGACATGGGATAGATGACCAATGTCCATAAATCTTGTTGAATGTTGAGTGTCCTGGATCATCACCACAGTCCTTTTTGTTGGACCCTCAATTGTTGACTGATAATGTCTGGGAGGGCACCATGGCTATTACTATTACTATTGTTAGCGTTTTAGAATGATCAATTTTACTTTACATTTTTGCTTGACCCCTGAATTTCTACAATGGGGATCAATGACCTACTGTATCTGGTCTAATGCTTGTCCCGCTCTAATACAAATCTAACCCTGGTTCTAGGCGTCTTCTCCGATTGGCTGCAGTCCTATGACGTGGCGTTCTTTGTCTCTGGAGCTTGCATGGTCTCAGGCAGTTTGGTCCTCTTCACTACCCTCAGCTTATCCTGCCTACAATCTGCAACAGAACTTTCCTCGAAGGCAGGACCAGAACAATCCTCAAGTCCAACTCTGGAACCGAGCCGGGACCAGCTGCATACAGGGGCTGATGAACCCCAGCACCTGTAGCTCTACCCCTGAAGAATGCAGGAGTTTGAGCTGGTGTAGGAAGAGGAGTAGCAGCAAGTAGCAACAGATTTTTATCACTGTGCGGCCGATCCATTGTTCCTTCAGCTGTACGACTGTACAGTTACTTAGAAACCTTGAGAATTACTCATGTACAGTACAGACCAAAAGTTTGGACTCACTTCCTTACTTTTCTTTTCATGACTATTGCCTGTAGATCCACACCAGGCTGTGTAAGGGCTGTTTGACCAATAAGGAGAGTGATGGTGCTGGGCCACTTACCTTTTTGTTTTCACTCGCGTCTCAATCGTGTCAATGTCACTGAGAAGTGAATTGCCCCCATGCACATGTGCAGATGAGTCAAGTGTGTATGAAGTGTGTATTCTTACATTACCAGATCCGACCAGTAGTTGGCAGCACTGAGAGATAATTGCTATACACACTTTCCCACACTTTTTCAGACATTTGTGATTTGTGGGGTCAGCCCTGAAATTTTGACAGGGAACTCCCCTGACCTTCTTTTCAATGAATCCAATGCTCACCCTTGTGGGAACCAGGTTTTTGGTCCCCCAAAAATTATGGTCCTCACGCCGTGAGTGTGCTGTCTGACCACGGTCCCCACCAAGTAGGAAAGACAAACCCACACACACAGAGACACACACGTTTGAGGCGTTGGAAGGACATTTTTTCCAATTATCCCTTTAAACCTTTAAACGAGACAGTCCATAGGGATCCCGTGGTGCTAGAGCCTCGAAAATCATATCAATGATCATGAAAAAAATCACAGAACCTTTTAAAGATTTCCTTTGCTGCACTGAGATATAAAAAATGACTGTTTTCAAGACTTTTCAGTGGCTTGTAAAGACTTTTCTGTAACACTGTTTAGAAGGACAGTGTGGTTTGCAAGGTCAGTGATGTCATCATGTATAACCTGTTCTGAAAGGACACATGGATAATGAGGCCAAAGAGACTGAGGCACACCATTATAGACACATTTCTTGATATTATGCTCTATAAACAAACTAAATATATTAATGTTTCTCAGGTAAGTGGACCCCCTCACAGAAGGCTCAGTGTAGAATCTGCTCCATCATATCTGTCCTCTCGTGTCTCCTCTTTGTTCTAACGGTGTCCAGTTCTCACACATGACAGAGGGTGATGTCACACTACACACACCTGGAGGTCCAGGCGTAACACTGGTCCATGGCGTGTCCAGGCGTGTCACTGGTCCATGGCGTGTCCAGGCGTGTCACTGGTCCATGGCGTGTCCAGGCGTGTCACTGGTCCATGGCGTGTCAAGGCGTGTCACTGGTCCATGGCGTGTCCAGGCGCGTCACTGGTCCATGGCGTGTCCAGGCATGTCACTGGTCCATGGCGTGTCCAGGCGTGTCACTGGTCCACGGCGTGTCCAGGCGTATCACTGGTCCACGGCGTGTCCAGGCGTGTCACTGGTCCATGCCGTGTCCAGGCGTGTCACTGGTCCATGACGTGTCCAAGCATGTCACTGGTCCATGGCGTGTCCAGGCATGTCACTGGTCCATGGCGTGTCCAGGCGTGTCACTAGTCCATGGCGTGTCCAGGCGTGTCACTAGTCTATGACGTGTCCAGGCATGTCACTGGTCCATGGCGTGTCCAGGCATGTCACTGGTCCATGGCGTGTCCAGGCATGTCACTGGTCCATGGCGTGTCCAGGCGTGTCACTGGTCCATGACGTGTCCAGGCATGTCACTGGTCCATGGCGTGTCCAGGCGTGTCACTGGTCCATGACGTGTCCAGGTGTGACACTGGCCACCGCCTGAGATAAAAAGGCCATTCCATCAAACAAACAGAACAATGTTAGCTTTATCACTGAGCTATATTTGTTCACCTCATGAATCTGGTCATGAACAGAACAGCATTCTGAAAGTTACAAGGAAAATAAAGGTGAAACCAAACAATATAAATGTCCATTTAGAATTCAGCCTTAGAATATCTCTTTAAGGCCAACCCTCAAAATCTGTAATATCTTGAATAGATCCACAATCCAAGACGGTGTGTTCCATTTCCTGGACCTTATGTCACTGCTGAATGGGGGCAGTTAAACCAATGAAAGGCCTCAGATGCTTCTTCACTGATGTCATCCTCAGACCACGTAGTAAGTAGTGGTAGACCATCGTCAGACAGGTTAGTTTTACCCTGCTGATGATGTGTTAATAATGCATCGGTTTTATATAGCGCTTTTCTGGACACTCAAAGACGCTTTACGTCTGACAGAAGCGAGGCAAACAGTATGCGCCAGCGGCCCCTCCGACCACCACCAACCATTCACATACACACCAGCTGAGCCAACAGAATGTGGCAGGGGTTTGGAGGAGCCTGAAGACCATCTCGGGCTTCAAAACACCCCCTGTCCAGCCTGTGGGGGACCCCCAGTGGGTTAATGATCTAAACCAATTTTCCTGCGGTTTGATCAGACCTCACATCACACCTGCTCAAGTGAGAGGTGTGATGAAGAAAATCAAGACCAGGAAGGCGGCGGGACCAGACCATGTGAGCGCCAGGCTCCTCAGCTCCTGTGCAGACGAACTGTGCGGAGTTATGGGGCACGTCTTCAACATGAGCCTCCGCCTCAGGTCGGTACCACAGATCTGGAAGACCTCCTGTGTGGTACCAGTGCCCAAGAAACCACGGGCCAAAGACCTCAGCGATTTCAGGCCAGTGGCTCTAACATCCCACTGCATGAAGACACTGGAGAGACTGGTCCTGGGACATCTCCGCTCCACTTTGAGCCCAGCGATGGACCCGCTGCAGTTCGCCTACAGGCCGGGCATCGGAGTAGAGGACGCCATCATCTCCATCCTCCATCGCTCGCTGTCCCACCTTGAGAAACCACCGCTGTGAGGATTATGTTCTTCGACTTCTCCAGCGCCTTCAACACCATCCGGCCGAGGCTTCTCAGGGACAAGCTGGAGACAGCCGGTGTGGACCACGACCTGTCTGAGTGGATCCTGGACTACCTCACAGACAGACCCCAGTTTGTGAGAACCAGGGACTACGTGTCTGAGGTCCTGACCTGCAGTGTGGGGGCCCCCCAGGGGACAGTCCTCGCACCGTTCCTCTTCACCCTCTACACTGCGGACTTCAGACACAACACGGACGGTTGTGTTCTACATAAGTTCTCTGACGACTCTGCCATCATCGGACTCAGCGCCGAGGACGATGACGCAGAGTACAGAGGAGTTATACAGGACTTTGTGGACTGGTGTCAGCGGAACCACCTCCTCATCAACGCGGGGAAGACCAAGGAGATGGTGGTGGATTTCCGTAGACGTCACTCTGCCGCTCCAGCCCCAGTGTACATCCAGGGAAAGGGAATTGAGAGAGTGGACTCTTACAAGTACCTGGGTGTTCATCTGAACCACAAACTGGACTGGACTCATAACACAGACGCCCTCTTCAAGAAGGGCCAGAGCCGCCTCTACCTGCTGAGGAGGCTTAGGTCTTTTGGAGTGCAGGGGCCACTCCTGAAGACCTTCTATGACTCTGTGGTGGCATCAGCCATCTTGTACGGTGTGGTCTGCTGGAACAGCAGTATCACAGAGAGGGACAGGAAGAAGCTGGACAAGGTCATCCGGAAGTCCAGCTCAGTCCTGGGCTGTTCCTTGGACACAGTGCAGCAGGTGGGGGACAGGAGGGTCCTGAGCAAACTAACATCTATGCTGGACCATGAATGTCACCCCCTGCAGGACACTCTCTCTGCTCTGGAGAGCAGCTTCAGTGACAGACTAATTCACCCTTGATGTGTGAAGGAGAGGTTTCGCAGGTCTTTCCTTCCTGCTGCTGTCAGACTGTACAACAAGAATGTGTAACAGGAACTGCTGAGTCTGCACAAGTGTTTCTGATAATTCACTAGTAACTTTGTCACTAGTCACTTTACCTGTTATCAGTACTACTACAGTACTACATATCTGATATTTACTGTTATCAGTACTACTGTATTATTTCATATCTGATAATTCTGCCTTCCACCGTCACTTTACCTGTTGATATCTTACTGTATTATTCATATCCATCTGATAATTCTCCCATTCAAGTCACTTTACCTGTTGATATCATTTCTGATGTTTATTCTGCTCATATTCTCATATTCTCCGCTGCTAATGTATAATATAGACATCTGTAAATACTCCGAACCAAGTGCAATTGTAGCCCAGATTTTCTCATTTTATTTTATTTTATCTTAAATTTATTGTCTATTATCTTAAATAATAGACTTTGATGTGTGCAATCTGAGTGCTCTTATTTCCTTTCTCTGCTGTAATGTGCAACGATGACACTGAAATTTCTCCACTGTGAGACTAATAAAGGTTTATCTTATCTTATCTTATCTTACCAGACTCATTCTAGGCAATGGGGGTGAAGTGTCTTGCCAAGGACACAACAACAGCAGCAACTGCTCTACCAACTGAGCTATTGTCGCCTTGTTGCTACGGTGTTGTTGCAATAGTACTCCCAATAATGACTACTGTCATTGTGTCCTTTGGCAAGACACTTAGCACCAATTTGCCTGAAGCCCCTACTGAATAATCAAGGCTTCTGTGGACTCAGCACCGGCAGGAGGATCAGTGAGGGGCTGGTGCTCTGTGAACTGGGTGCAGCTCTGACTGCCACCTCCAGACCCAGAAATGGGGGAAAGAAAATGGATGGATGTTTGGTTAGGATACCTGTAGGGATACCACTCGACACACACATAAGAGAAATATAGACCAGAGCTGTAAACAGCAGGTAAATAACTCTGGGACAAGCATTTTCTTCCACAGCACTACAAAACATCAAACTGCAAATATGTTCATTAACCCTAGACTTATCTGTTCCAATAAAGCAAACACAGGTGACAACTTTGTTACACATGATGCTGGTCCCGTCGGCAACCCCTGAACCCAGTGGTGGACACCGGCAGTAAGGGATGCTGTCAAGCTGAAGAAGGAGTCCTTCGAGTCATGATGGTTCGGGGGACTCCTGAGGCAGCTGTCCAGTACCGGCAGGCCAAGCGTGCTGTTGCAGAGGCCAAAACCCGGGACTGGGAGGAGTTCGGAGAGTACATGGAGCATGACTACCGGTCAGCCTCGAAGAGATTCTGGCAAACTGTCCAGCGCATCAAGAGGGGGAAGCAGTTCTTTGCCAGCACCGTGTATGGTGCGGGTGGGGAGCTGCTGACCTCGACTGGGGATATTGTCGGGCGGTGGAAGGAATACTTTGAGGTTCTCCTCAATCCCTCTGTCACGTCCTCCGTTCCAGAGGCTGAGGATGTTGGGGCGGATACTTCTATCTCCCTGGCAGAGGTCACCAAGGTGGTTGGCAGCCTCCTTGGTGGCAAGGCGCCGGGAGTGGATGAGATCCGTCCTGACTATCTAAAGTCTCTGACACGTCTCTACAAATCGCGTAGCGCTCGGGGGCGGTACCAATGGAGTGGCAGACCGGGGTGGTGGTCCCTCTCTACAAAAAGGGTTAGGGTGTGTGTTCCAATTATCGTGGGATCACACTCCTCAGCCTCCCCGGTAAGGTCTACTCCAAGGAACTGGAGATTAGTGTGGTTTTCGTCCCGGCCGTGGAACACTGGACAAGCTCTATACTCTCCATCAGATACTCAAGATACTTCATGGGCGTTTGCCCAACCAGTCCACATGTGCTTTGTGGATTTGGAGAAGGTGTTTGACCGTGTTCCCCGGGGTGTCCTTTGGGGGGTTCTCTGGGATTACGGGGTCCTCTGCTGAGGGCCGTCTGGTCCCTGTATGACCGGAGCCAGAGCTGTGTTTGCATCAGCAGTAAGTCAGACCTGTTCCCGGTGCATGTTGGCCTCCGCCAGGGCTGCCCTTTGTCACCGGTTCTGTTCACTTTCTTTATGAACAGAATTTCTAGGCGCAGCCAGGGGCCGGAGGGGGTCCGGTTCGGAGACCACAGGATTTCATCTCTGCTGTTTGCCAACGATGTTGTCCTGTTGGCTCCAACGAACCAGGACCTGCAACATGCACTGGGACGGTTTGCAGCCGAGAGTGAAGCGGGGCTCACAAAACGCCCGACGTCTGGTGGTCAAAAAGCACTGTCATGAGGGCAGTTTTTGGTGCTCCTCCTTCCTCCTGTCTTTCACTCCCATGTGTGTCTGTGAGTCT